GTGGGAGTTACTCCCACGGTGCCTGCAAGAATGGAGAGGGGCAAAGTGAGGCAGAAGAGTGGGCCTTGGGCAGGAAGAAGGCCGCCTTTTTCCTAGGAAGAGGGAGGGATGACACAGTGCCCATGGGGCAGTACGCTGAGGTTCCCACGGGGGCTTCTGAGAAACTCACAGACTCAAGAGAGAGTCCCCCACCTCCCACATCTGAGGCGGGGGGGGCAAAAGTGCAAAGCCGCCTTGCAACGGGGCTTTTCAAACCAACACTCCCCGGTCCCTCTTCCTGCTCCGCATCCTTTCTTCTCCAGCCACCAGTGGCTAGAAATGACCCTTGGCCCAGTTAGAGGTCTCCATCATTAACTGGGATTGCCACATTTTTAATTACTTAAACAAGACATTTGCTACTTACAGTGACCAAAGGACTTCCTGTCACCTTCATCTCATGACCAGAAAAGTCAGGGGACCAGCCTGAGTTTTTACCCAGGGTTAGGAGCAGTAGCAGGTTTCAAAGGAAGACCAGAAAAGTTGTATTTCAGATTCGTGAGTGACCCCTCACAGTTAGCCTTGGCAGTAGGGGCCACTCACTTGCCAACAAGACTCTTCTTGTTCCTCCTCTCCTGGGCAGGTCATAACTAATCTACACCCAAGTGCAAATAACTCAGACCACAAGGTACTGTCTCTGGGATGAGAATGTGCCAAGGGACAGAATACTCAGGTTGAAGACCGTGATCTCTAATTGTCACACATTAGCAAACTAGGGCAGCAGATGTCCTCGGTGAGAGATGGGGAGAAGCAGGCGGAGGCTATGGGAAACTCCAGAGCTGTCAGCCTGGAGAAGTGGGCGGCCCTTAAAGTTAACAGTCCCCCATGCAGTGGACTTGGGACAACATGAAGCCGTTTAGGATGTGGGGTACTCACTGACTACATCTCGTTCTATGGAGGCAACCTCTGGAACTTAGAGCAGGCATCCTTTGAGGTCAACTAAGTAGCATTTCAGACCTAAAAGGGAAAGACAGATATGCCATAACCTAAGATCTACTAAACTACCTCCACAGGGGCTTTCTGACAGCACTGAAGTATCCTTCATCCTTGGAGAAGACAAATGGAACTAAATAAACCATAGCCCGCAATACCCATGGTGGGTCACATCCTCCTGAGCAGTCTGCCCCATCATATTGTCCTGCTGTGCCCTGGGTGCTGCTGTGTAACAACTCTTCCAACTGTTTCTTATTCAAGCTCTTTAGTAAGAAAGAGGAGAAATGGTGACCTGTTTTATTCTCTGCCATTATTCAAATAGGCATCCTTCTGTTGAATTTGGAACTTAAATTATGGAAAATCATATTCTACACAATTAATCATTTCCCTAACCATTTTGTAACAAGAATATATACGGATGCCTGAGTGGCTCAGTTGGTTAAGCATCTGATGCTTGATTTCGGCTCAGATCATGATCTCATAGTTTGTGGGTCTGAGCCCCATGTCCGGCTCTGTGCTGATAGCATGCAGCTTGCTTGAAATTCTCTCTCTCTCTCTGCCCCTCCCCTGCTTGCTCTCTCTCTCTGTCTCTCCAAAATAAATAAACATTAAACAAAGAATATGCACACGCGTGCACACACACACACAGTCCACCTAGAGTAGATTCTTTTATACTAAAGTAAGTATTTTAGAGCTACAGATTCAGAGGGGCACATGCACCCCAGTGTTTACAGAAGCATTATCAACAATAGCCAAATTATAGAAAGAGCGCAAGTGTTGTGATAAATGGACAAAGAAGAAGTGGTGTGTGTGTGTGTAATATTACTCAACCATCAAAAAGAATGAAATCTTGCCATTTGCAATGATGTGGATGGAGCTAGACTGTATTATGCTAAGTTAAATAAGTCAGCCAGAGAAAGACAAATACCATATGATTTCACTCATGTGTGGACTTTAAGAAACAAAACAGATGAATATAGGGGAAGGAGGGGAAAAGAGAGAGGGAAGCAAACAATAAGAGACTCTTAACTCTAGAGAACAAACTGAGGGTTGCTGGACGGGAGGTGGGTGGGGAGATGGACTCAGTGGAAGATGGGCATTAAGGAGGGCACTTGTTATGATGAGCATCGGTTGTTATATGTAAGTGATGAATCACTAAATTCTACTCCTGAAACCAATATGATTATATATGTTAACTAACTAGAATTGAAATAAAAATTTGAAAAGAAAAAAATAAATATTGTAGGGCAAATGTAAATAAATTGAATCTATTAGTACCAGGGCCAGTTTTATGCCTTTGATATGGACTGTGTTTGTTTCTGATTGTGCTACATCAGCACATTTTCAAGGCTTAATACAATGGTAAGGTTGTTTTTTATAAGACAATAAGTATAACCAAGATAATGTCATACTTTATGACACAGATACCTTTTAATGACCCTCTAGAGTTTGAGTTCCTTGCTTTTAACTCCAGTATAATATCACAGCCAGAGATTTAATCAATAGACTTGCAGTAATCGATCTTTATTACCAGCCTTTCATAGAAGTTCCATGTCATCATCAAACACGGACTTAGTCTAAACAATGCAATAGGCACACCCTGGGGGGCACCTATCCCCGAAGCCCACCACACCCCACCATATCGTAGAGCTGGGATTCAGCCCCATACGAACATTTGGATTCCAAATTTGATTCGGTAGTAAATGTGTTTTTGATTGAGTGGGGCCATCTTTTAAAATTGTCTAATTGTCTGATTCCGATTGCAAGAAAATGTTCCCTTTACGAATCCAGGAGTATATAGTAAGTTCTATTTACCAGATTATGGTATCCCCAGTCTCTTAAATGTTTGTTAATCAACTTGAAACTTTTCACATTTTTTTAGAAAACTGGAAGCCCATTAAAGGGTATTAATTATGTTAGTATTTGCCAGAAAACGCTCGAGGAAAGCAATGATTTTTTAAAATGTAGAGCAAAATCAGTTGAATTTAAAAAGTCCTTTCCCGGGGCGCCTGGGTGGCTCAGTCGGTTAAGTGTCCGACTTTGGCTCAGGTCATGATCTCGCGGTCGGTGGGTTCAAGCCCCGCATCGGGCTCTATGCTGACAGCTCAGAGCCTGGATGGGGCCTGCTTCAGATCCTGTGTGTCTCTCTGCCCTTTCCATGCTCATGCTCTGTCTCTCAAAAATGAGTAAACGTTTAAAAATTTTTTTTTAAAAAAAGCATTAAAAAAAAAGTCCTTTCCATAATATAACTGAATGCTTTCATGAAGTGCTTATCTTTAGGTTAGAGTCTTGTGTTCCTTTTATCCACATTCTTTGTATCTTCTGGCTCTCTTTGCTGAATTCACTGTCCTACAAGAATCTCTGAGGTTGTTCAAAAAGGCTCTTAAGCATCTGGAAGTTTGGGCAGGTCACACTGATGCAGGAATGACATTGAACAATTTTTTATGGTTTCCCGTGAGCCTATGAAGAGAAGTCACAACTGACAATCCAGCAAGTGAAATGTGATGCCAGAGACTGGTGATGGTTGTTTCGTTCTGTTTCTGCAAGGCACTTGGTATGGGAAGGATGAAAGAAATGTTAGAAATGTCATATATTGTTGTGTCTCTAAGTCAGGTGTTTCTTTTGGAGGCCACAGTCTGCCTGCCTGCAGGCCACGCCTCCCAGTCATGTTGGGGGTCACTCATCCACCTTCTTAAAGTTGTTGGAAAGCCAGCTTTACTATGACCTAGTCTTCAGGTCTCTGTCTCATTCACCATGTGTCTTCAAGACCAGACGGCCTAACATGCCTGATGCTGACCTCAGCAAAGGGGATCGTGCCCCGGGGTCCTTGAGGCCTGGACTCTTGCTGGGATGCCTTTGCCATCCCACCAGAGACCTCACTGGTCCCAAACAGTCCCAGGATAGAGCCCCCCGTCCACCTCCTTGTCTTGAACAAAGCTTTGCTCTCCAGCTCCCTCTATTTCAGCTTGAATATTTGCAAGAGTATCCCCCTGATGGGTGGACCACCTAGGAGTTGCTTTCCATCCCAGATACTATGATTCCATGATTCTCTGTTGTGTTCTTTGATGATGCCCATGATGTTACTGAACGTGGTGACAACACCCTACCATGGTCATTGCAGATCTTACCCTCACTCAGCTCCCGGCATTAAGCTAGTTCCCACTCTGCCACTCGCTGCCTCCATGGGGTCAAGGGACAGTGATAGTGGGCCAGGAGGGCAGTGCTTAAAGCTGCCCTGGTGCCTGGATCCCCAGAGCCCAGCTGGCATAGACTTGATTCTCCCTGACTCCTCACCATCCTCACTGCATTTCAGTCCTAGCATTGAAAGGCAGTGAAGAGGTTTTGTAGAATTGAGTTGGGCCATGTTCTTCAATTGGTAGCTCAAATGGCTTCTAAAAGCAGGAGTTTATTATATTCCAGCTGCGTAAGTGCCTTTAATCCTCTTCAGAAACTGGCTTGCAAGTTCATTTCCATAGCTCATTAGCGTCTTTTGGATAGATTAGCTCCAAAATATTGAAAAATGGTTTCTTGCCTCTTAAGGGTGCATTCGCGCTTCTCAGCTTTGGTGCGATGAAGGTGTTCAACTCAGGAAGGAAAGCCTGGGTCTGGGGAAGACGGTCCTAAGGCAGCGTCTTCCTTTCTTGTGCAGTTGCAGGGAAGGCTGGGAAGATCGCACAGATTCCTGAGCTGTATTGACAGCACACAGGGTACAAGCTCTGTACATTTCACATTGATTATGCAAGTGGTATGATTTTCTCTCATCTGCCAGTGTCTTTCCCGAGCAGCACTGTGGGAGCAGAGGGCCTGGGTTTCTGTGGCTCGAAGGGGAGGGTTAAGCTGTCCACAAGAGAAAATTGCAGACCTCCCCAAATGCAAATGCTTAACATAGATGAAATTTTAATGGAAATCAATTTTGCCTCTCCAAAGAAGCTTTTGGCTTCTTGGAAAATATAGACTGCTCACTGTTGATTACTGACATTATATTTCCTTTCTTTTTCCCCTCCCCTCCTGCCTTCCCAACCTGTTGGCAGCTGCCCGTATCTAGCAGTGAAAATCACCCCCGCCATCCCCGTGGTTGGTGGCATTCTGTTCTTCTTTGTGATGGGGACCCTGCTTCGCACCAGCTTCAGTGACCCGGGAGTCCTTCCGCGAGCCACGCCCGATGAAGCCGCCGACCTGGAAAGGCAAATAGGTAACCCTGAAGGTCTGCCCTTAGCCTCGGGTCCCTTCCCACCTGGGCTCGGCCACAGTGTGGGAGGACAGGCCCAGGTTCCCGTGCAGGAGGGGACGGGCAGGGTGCTGGACAGTGACGCGTGGCCGGGGAGGAGTCCCAGAAGCCTTCGTTCCGGCCGCAGCAGGATGACCTGAGTAGAGGTGGGATAAAGTGGTTGGAGGTAAGGCCCAGCGGCTGGCGTGCTGGAGGCGGGCTGGCAATGCCATCAAGTGAGGGCCGCCACCAACTTCTGTTTGCCGATGCTTCTTCGAAACCCAAGCTCCTCTGAGAAGGAGTCTCTATTATGAAAGACCCGTAGTTTTAAGTGGCTGCCCTCTGCTCCGTTTATAATCATCACACTTCATGCTAGTTTCTGTAACAGAAGCCTGGAGAGATTACATCTGACCCCATGGTCTAGGTTACCCAGCCTAGGACTCAGAACTTCCTTTATGAAGGCATGGCCAAGATATGTATTTGTGATATATATTGACATGAACAGCTTTGGTTGTCCTTAGCTATTGAAATCCTAGGATAGAAAGTTTACAGCAACGTACTTTGAAACATATATTGAAACAAACCTTAATCCCTCCCAGAACAAACTTTTAAAGCTGTATTTTTGGCTAAAAAAAGAGAGTTGCTTCTTGCTCTTAAAAGTTTGCATTCGTGCACCTGTGGCTCGGTGCTGGTGCGGTGATAATCTGAAGCAAGTAGCAGAGGGGCTGTGATCGCTCCGTGTGAACATAGGATGATCGCTTCGTGGTTTTTTAACATGAAAACCCACCTGGCTTTTCCCTCCTGCTGCTCCCCCCTGCACCGTGAGCTTCCTTCCCTTCCCAGGGTCCCTCAGCCAAAAGACCCCCTGCTTTGCAGTGTAAAGAAATACAAGTGTGGATTTTGAGAGGCAGTGCCTGCTGTGGCCAGCCATCCCCAAGTACCAAAGCATGACTGCGTCATCGGAGCATCTGCCTATGTCCCCGTTGTCCAGGAGGGGGCCAGTGCATGATTTCAGTGTTAATGGTGGGGATGTTTGGTGGTGGTCTGCTGGGCCACAGCCTTCTTGTGTCCTGACATAGGGAAGCCAGAAAGAAGGGTCAGCAGTGGTGAGACCGTCTCTCTCTTAGTCACCCCATCTTGGGATTTCAAGACATTAATTATAAATTAATTCATAATTTAAAGCCTTAAATTTATAGCATGTGAATCATTTATAAAAGCTACCCATGGCTATTGCTGAATTTGATCATATCCAAGCAAGTTTGGGAGGCAGACTTTATTATTACCTCCATCTTGCAAATAAGGAAACAGAGCCTCAAAGAGGCTAAATGGGAGAAAGTGGTGGAGCCAGAGCCTTGAACCCAAGTCTCCTGGGTCTCAGCCCTTATTCTTTCCAGGGCATCACGTCACAGGGGAGAGACAGGCCCAGTTTCCTTCAGGAGCAGAACTGGGCCTATGGAAACTGCATAGGCTGTACCCATGTCACATTAACACGCAGCTTGAAAATCCTCGACTCAAGCAGTGTGCAAAGAGCCCGGCTCTTCACGCTGGCCTTGAAGCATTTTCCTGCTGTGATCCTATTTCCTATCTCTCCTCTTGGTTAGTGCAAGGAGCATCTGCAAAATCAACAAGATTAGGAACCAGGGGTGATAAAGCGTGCCCTTGGAAGCCCCTACTACAAGTGCAGATTCTAAGAAGCACAGAGTTTCCGTTCTTCCCTGTTAATATTGAGGAGGTTGAGTGATTCACTGAAGTGCTTTTTTTTTTTTTTTATAACCTAAGAGCAGTATTTCAACAAGAGCATTTTTAAAGCCAACTCTGCCCCATGCTGTCAGAGACACAGAATCTGTGAGAGAACTAGATGAGGTAAAGGATGAAACCTTTACCCGTGAGGGAGAGCAGAGGGGCTTTAGAGACAGGCGAGCATGGCAGACATGAGTTGGCTCTGCACATCCCTTCCCCCAAGAAGCAAAAAAAAAATTGGAAAAAATAGTCACAATCATTTCATGGCTCTAGAATTCAACTGTATTGAGGAGCCATTATTCATGCAAAACTACTTGACTTTGGTAAGGAGAGTGGGTGTCTATGATATTCTAACCTAGAGCTGCTCCAATCCCCACCTGAATTCTAAAGGTGATGAAGTTCTACTTGGACAGGGCAAGCTCTGAAAACCAGCAGCATCTCTGTCTGAGGGGCCAGTGTGCTCTGGAGTAAAGTATGGAAAAAATCAGCAACTGAAACTTTCACCTTAAGAAACTAGAAAAAATGCAAACTAAACTCAAAGCAATCTATAGTAAGGCAGTATTAAAGATGACAGTGGAAATCAAAGAAATAGAATATAGAAAACAACAGGGTAAATCAATGAGACTGAAAGTTAGTTTTTTGAGAAGACTAACAAAATTGATACACTCTTAACTATACTACCCCCCACCCCTTCCAAAAAAAGACAAAGAGAAGATACAGATTACTAAAATCAGGAATGAAAGCAGAAGTCTTACCATTGACCCTACAGATATTAAAAAGATTTTAAATTTATGCCATAAAATTAAACAACTTAGATGAATGGACAAAGTCTTAGAAACCCACAATTACCAAAAGAATGACTCAAAAAGAAATAGAAAAGCTGAAGAAACCCATAACAGGTAATCCTTACTTCATACCATGCACAGTTTAATTCAAAATGGATCATAGACCTAAATTTAAGAGCTAAGTCTCTAAACTTTTGAAAGAAACAGAGAAAATTTTCACGACATTAGGTTAGGCAAACGCTTCTTACATAAACACCAAAAGCATGATCTGTAAAGAAAGTAAAAGATAACAAATTGGAGTTCATCAAATTAGAAGTTTTTGTACTTCAAAAGATACCTTCAAGGGGCACCTGAGTGGCTCATTTGGTTGAGTGCCTGGCTCTTGATTTTGGCTCAGGTCATGATCTCATGGTTTATGGGATCCAGCCCCACGTTGGGCTCTGTGCTGACTGTGAAGATCCTGCTTGGGATTCTCTCTCCCTCTCTCTCTTCCCCTCCCCTGCTTGATCTCTCTCTCTTTATCTCAAAATAAATAAATAAACATTTTAAAAAGTTACCATTAGGAGGACCTGGGTGTCTCAGTCAGTTAAGTGTCGCCTTCTGCTCAGGTTATGATCTCATGGTTCACAAGTTTGAACCCTGTGTTAGGCTCTATGCTGCCAGCTCAGAGCCTGGAGCCTGCTTCAGGTTCTGTGTCTCCCTCTCTCTCTGCCCCTCCCTTGCCCATGCTCTGTCTCTCTCTCTCAAAAAATAAATATTAAAAAAATTTTATAAGGTATCATTAAGAAAGCAGAAAGACAAGCCAGAGACTGGGAGAAAATATTTGCAAATCATATATCCTGTACTTGTATCCAGAATATATTAAGATCTCTTACAACTCAATAATAAGACAAACAACCCAAATAAAAATGAGTAAAGGATTTGAACATTTTTCCAAAGAAGATGTATGAATGGCCAAAGAATACATGACAAGATTATCAATATCACTAGTTAAAACGGAAATGCAAATCAAAACCACAGTGAGATACCACTTCACACCCACTGGAAAGGCTCTCATCCAAAAGACATGATGGTGAAGATACGGAGAAATTGGAACCCTCATGCATTACTGGTGGGGATGTAAAATGGTGCAGCCACTTTGGAAAACATTTCCTTAAGATTCCTCAAGAAGTTAGGCATAGATTATCATACAACCCATATTATCATACAACTCTATTTGTAGGTTTATATCCAAGAGGAGTGACAACATATGTCTCTGGTGTGCATTGTACCTAAAACCCTCAAACTGGAAACAGCACAAATGTCCATCAGTGGGCAAACCGATGAATAACGTGTGGTATGTCCACACAGTAGAATACTATGAAGCAATAAAAACGAGCCCAGTGTTGATGCATGCTACAACACAGATAAACCTTAAAAACACACTAAGCGAGGGGCGCCTGAATGGCTCAGTCAGTTGAGCATCTGACTCTTGATTTTGGCTCAGGTCCATGATCTCATGGTTCATGGGATCGAGCCCTGCATTGGGCTCTGCACTGACAGTGAGGAGCCTGGTTAGGATTCTCTCTGACTCTCTCTCTGCCCCTCCTCCTACTCACATGCTCTGTCTCTCTCAAAGTAAAAAAACATAAAAAAACAAAAGCCACTCTAAGTGAAAGAAGTCAGATCAGAAGGCTACCCATTGTGTAGTTCCATGTGTATGAAGTGTCCAGAAAGGGCAAATCTTTAGAGACAGAAAGCAGATGAGTGATTGCCTGGGGTTGGGGGAGGAGTGAAGGTCGCCACACTGGGACTTGAGAAATCTTGCTGGAAATGGCCTAAACTTGGGCTGTGGTGCTGGTTGTACAATCCAGCCCATTTATTAAAGGTCATGACATTACATACTTCCAAAGGCTAGCGGTTAGGTTTGTGGGGTACAGCACAATAAAGCTGTCAGAAAAAGAGGAAGAGAGGAAGGGGAGAGGAAGACGATGAGAGCAGAAGAGGAAGGAGGGCCAACTCACCTCTAGTTGTGTGACGTTAGGCTAGTTGTAAAATGGGAATAATGATGCATATCCTATAAGGTTCTTCTCAGGATCAGCTTAGAAAATGTTTTTTTGGGGTTGAGTGTTTGTTTTTGTTTTTTTTAGAAAAATCCTTCTCTTCTTCCACCCAGTTCTCTCCTTACCCTCCACATACGTAGGTTCTCATAAAAGAATTCTTGACCCAAAATGTGGTAGGAATAAATAGCATAGTTAGGCTGATTCTTTATAAGGAGTCCTCCTTCCTCTCTATTACTTGGGTGTGGAGAATAAGATTCTGTTTCCGTGAAATCTTATCGCATTTATTTTGTGCTATCTAATGAAAGAAGAAAAAATGAAAATTAGATTTGGAAGCATCTTATTATTAGTTATTAATCCTAATTATCTGTAGTTGACGTCTCCTTATAGAAGACCAGATAGCCGTTCGAAACCAGCCTGT